ATGAGAAAGAAACTGAACTGTCGAAGTATATATGGGAACTTAAATTTAAAGGGAAGGCTTTTGCCATCAATTGGTCTATTCTGAAACATTCAACACCCTACGCGTCCGGTAGCACGCGATGTAATCTGTGTAACGAGGAGAAACTATATCCATTATGAAAGCAGACCAGAAAACGTTACTTAATAAACGATCGGAAATCTTCGGAAAATGTCGCCATAAAGATCGGTTCCAAGCTGGAAGTTTTCATCGCAAGCGCGTGCGTCAACGAAAATCACGAAATCAAACAAACTAATTAAACGGACATAAATCGCCTGAAGATCGATCAGACAAGATCGTGAAACTCAGAGTAGCGCAAAAACATTGTTATTTTAAGATATTTGTAACGTTAATTATATATATATATATATATATATATATATATATATATATATATATATATATATATATATATATATATATATATATATATATATATATATATACGACTATTCATTAAAGAATATTCCTATACCATCGCAGGACGCTTATTTGAAGAATTTGATTGAAAAAGTGGAAAGTGTAATAAAACGTATGAGATGGAAAGCTCATTTCTTTAATAAAAACAGTATCAACAAGAACCAAAACAACCATTTCGGCCTTGCGTCCAACAAAACACCATCTTCGATTCCGGAAATGAAACCTTTCGAAACCGACCTTATAAAACTGATCGAAAATATACAATTTCGATCAGGGAAAAACCATTTTCAGAAATCTTTGGCTAACGATTTGAAGAAAATTAATTCATCTCCCAACATTTTCATTTTTGCAGACAAAACTAGAAATATTTATGAAGCCTCGCTCGACACATACAACAAGCTCTTACATGACAATATTACCAAAACATATAAACATGGATCCGAGGACACTATAGACGAAATTGACTCTGAATTAAAAAACATTTCGAACAATTTAGGAATCGGCGACAGAATTGAAAAAATGAAAAAACGTGAAGCATTTATATCTTTAAAAGACCACAAAGAAAATTTCGAGAACAATCCAAAATGTCGGCTAATTAATCCCGCTAAAAGCGAATCAGGAAAATTGAGCAAAATTATTTTAGATAAAATTAACTCCAATTTGAGACAAAAACTGAATTTGAACCAGTGGAGAAATACAAAACAAGTAATTGAATGGTTTGGAAATATAAAAGACAAAGAAAGACATAGTTTTATTTCGTTTGATATCGTTGATTTTTACCCATCCATTTCGGAAAAGCTTTTGGACCAAGCATTATCTTGGGCTTCTAATTTAACTACCATTTCGGATAATGATATTTTGATAATAAAACACGCCAGAAAATCTCTGCTTTTCAACACCGGAAAACCATGGACTAAAAAAGATAGCGAAGGTTTGTTTGACGTTACCATGGGCAGCCACGATGGCGCCGAAATATGTGAATTAGTTGGCCTTTTCATCCTAAATCACCTAAGTAAGAAGTTTGGCAAAGAAAGCATCGGCATATATAGAGACGACGGTTTGGCCCTTATAAAAAGTAAATCGGCACGTTTAGCAGACAAAACAAGGAAAGAACTCCACAAAATTTTCGAGTTGTTTGACCTAAAAATCACCGCCGAATCAAATTTACGCATAGTAAACTTTTTAGATGTAACTTTCAATCTTAACAACGGAAAATATAGGCCCTATAGAAAGCCCAATGACGATCCGCTATACATAAATAGGTACTCTAACCATCCACCCAGCATTATAAGGCAGCTTCCTACATCAGTTAACAAGCGCATTGCAATGCTTTCATCAGATGAGCAAACATTTATGGAATCTGCACCTGCATACCAAAACGCACTTGACCACAGCAACTTTAATCATGATCTCAACTACACTCAACACGCACCACAACAAGCACGCAGAAATAGGCAACGTAATATCATTTGGTTCAACCCACCATTTAGCATGAATGTCAGCACTAATATAGGGCGTAATTTTCTTAACCTTATCGACAAGCACTTTCCTTCGCACCACAAGCTGCATAAGATCTTTAACAGAAATACAGTAAAAGTAAGTTATAGCTGCATGAGCAACGTTAAGTCTATAATCACTAAGCACAATGCACATATAGCTAGGAAGAACAAGGCACAGGGCAAGGGCACTGTCAATTGCAGTTGTTCGAAAAACGCAACATGCCCACTTCAGAAACAATGCATGACTAAGGACATAGTATACAAAGCAACAGTCACAACAAGCAACCCTAACACGATCATGAATTATATTGGCATGACATCAACTACATTTAAAGAGCGTTTGGCTAACCATAACTATACTTTCGAGCATAAAAAGCACTCAAACAAAACTGAACTTTCGAAATATATTTGGACATTGAAAGATAGCAAGAAAGATTTTAATATCAATTGGCAAATTTTGAAACGCGCTATTTCGTATACGGGAGGATAAAAACGATGTAATTTATGTTTAGAGGAAAAATTTTGTATTTTGAAAGAAAACCAAAACCGTTTACTCAATAAAAGAATGGAAATTATATCTACGTGCAGACAGAGAAAGAAATTTCGCGTAAACAACGCAAACAATACACTCCCACAATTCGATTAGGCATTTCCGCGTAAACAACGCAAACAATAGATGAATGCATGCTTTGTTTCACCCACACCCCCCCACGTTCCGGCCAAAACACATATAAGCAGCCCTATTTTTCGAAACTTGTCATACCGCCTGATGATTCTTTACTGATGAAACAGACTGTTGCGGAATTTTGAGGTAGGCGAAATTCTACATTTGCATGCTCTATCTTTATGATATTGAGCACTCTTTGCGTTTCGTATACACAAACCTACTCGTATATATATATATATATATATATATATATATATATATATATATATATATATATATATATATATATATATATATATATATATATATATATATATATATATATATATATATATATATATATATGCATATATATATATATATATATATATATATATATATATATATATATATATATATATATATATATATATATATATATATATATATATATATATATATATATATATATATATATATATATATATATATATATATATAAATACCATTTTCCCAAGCTAATTCTAGTCGCTTCACGCGAAAATAGTTGAATAGTGGAAAACGGGCTTGGGTCTTGAAGTCAACTTCCTACATATCATAATGTCAAAGGTTTTGCATTCTTTCGTTGGTAACTGCATAAAACTGAAATCTCTCATTAGCAAATTTTTTGAAGAAAAAAGATCAGCGACAGTCATTTCAGAAAAAAACCCACTTAGAATTTACAAATGCTATATTGTAATGTTTTATTCAAGTCAATTTTGTTCAACAAATAATTATTGTCCAGAAATTCATGTACAAATTAGAAAATCTTCCATTTCTTTATAAAAAGTGTAGGGAGCCACCTTAAATTGTCAAAATAATTGAGTATATACTAGAAGAAATTTGGGGGTCATCGATGTACTTTAAAGCCAAAATATCCACCATATTGAAACGTCATTATTGCCATGGCAACGGCAGTTGCGTAACTTTTGTGAAAAACTCTTTAGATGTTGTTGTACATAAGTAAGATGCTTTAAATCGCAAATTTTCCATTTTTAAAAACCCGAATCGAGCCTCCTTAATTAAATTAAAACCATCAGCCACGCAAGCTATTCTGTGTCCTGCATCCGTATTCTGTGGTGGAATTGAATGTACCAAAGTATAAGAAATGCAAGGGCAAGGGGTATGGTGAATTGTGCTGCAATTACCCATTACTTTTAGCATTGTGGCTTTCTTTCCTTTGTGTAAGACATCTAATTTTGTATATGTTTATATTATAACAGCTCCAAAATCACAAGGAGAGAAAAATAAAGATGACGTTTTACAACCAGAATCGCAAGGAGAAAAGGAAGATGAAACTGACGAAAAAGATCCAATTACTGATGTCCCAGAGCCAGAGTATAGTTTTTCGGTTACCGAAGGTAGTGGGCAAACGTCTGATAACAGGTATATAATTTCTTAAACTATAGGTCCAAGGTATTTACAATTATAAGCGACTTTTAAAAGGTTTATCTTTACGTTATGAAAATATTTAATTACTTTTACACTGGTCGAGTAACCTCGCAATGCACACAGAGAAGACTTTGGTATAGACTGTAGTATTTGTCCGGAGTTATTTTAAAAGGGAGAAAGAACTCTTTTATTTTTAAGCTCTTTAATCGCATAAATTAATCTCCATAAAAGCCGTCAATAAAATGGATTTATCATGACCAGCTTTGAGATTTAGCATTCATTATAGACATAGTAATTTAGAACAATTAGAAATTTGAAAATTGAATTTGATTTGTCTGGTCACAATGATTTGGAGTGCGTGGTGCAGTTTCATATATACAAATTTGTATGGTTTGTGATTCGTTTGATATTTAATAAGCTCATTCTCCAGTCCTAGCACCAGCCGCGCCGGCAAGTGGGAGGGGGGGGGGGGGGGGGCGGCCACCGCCTTCCCCCAATGTTTTTCAGAGTGTTGTTGTATACAATGACATAGTCAAATTCGATGAAAAATTGAGGAGGAAATTAAAATCTTGGCGGCGCCACTGCCTCGCACAAAGCTGCGAGTCGGTTTGCATCTCGTTAAAAAGAGCCTTAAAAAGAGCCGGTAATCTCCATATTGGTTCGTCAATCTTGTATTGGGAGATTTCTACCCCATAAACTATTCCTAATCCTTGCAATTTAAATTTTAAATATAACTCTTATCCTTGTGCATGATGTGATCATTTTGAATTCTGGCCAGTAACATGGGGACTTTCCCAGCAGACTTCATTGCATGAAATTAGACACCTTAAGATTGAAGTTTTACGAAAGACCACTAACCGCAAACGACAAACTTCAAATCGCATTTAAAGGTAAGTTCTACAAGATTTCGACAGCTAAGGAGTTAATTTGTGCTTCAATAGACCTTTCCCCTTTTGAGTGAAATTTTGATCTGGACAAGTCTGGACAAAAATTTCATCACAGCTTGATAGAGCATCACAAAATTAGTGATATTCCGAAGTTTCGTTGCGAAATGTTGTAAAATGCGGATAATATAGCCTTGCGAAGTTTGCCGTTTTTCAGTCATTTTGTATTACAATCTAACATTTTGCATCAGTTTGATCATCTGATTATCAATTTCCCGTTTGTAATACCAAATGACTGAAAAACGGCAAACTTCGCAAGGCTATATTCAGAGGCGCCGGAATATCGATAATTGCGGGGGCAGATATTCATATATTCGCGTTCACAGACTGTAAAAACAATCGATTTCAAAAGAAATTAATTGGGCAGAACACGAAAAAATGAATATCTGCCCCCCCCCCCCCCCCCCACCCCCCTCCCCCCAT